TTGTAGTAAATGACTGGAGTGTGGTTTTACTGAAAATTACAGTGGAAAAAAGGGAGACAAATACACAGAGTACACTCATCCATAGGTGGCCAGATTTCCATAGATTCAGTCATTTACTGCTTTGACCCATCCCTTTGGCTTAGAGTCAGAGAGATTTTAAGTGGCCACTCACAGCAAAGACTCTGTTTCCCTTAGCAATGGATGTGTCATGTGACCATGGTTTGATTGATGGCATGTCTGGGACTCGAGCTAAAAAAGCAGAGCCTCCCATTGCTTCTTCCTCCACTCTGCTTGTTGGAAAACGGATGTGGAAACGAGTCATGGAAACGCAGAAAGATGAGACTAGTCTGGAAAGACAGCACTGCCACTGGATAAAACCACCCAAGGCCCTAACAAACAACTCAAGTTGTCCCCCAAGTTTACATGAAAACAGATGAAGCTGGCCGTTGTTTAGGCTCCTTTCTTTTAGGGCAGTGTTTGAAGGAGCTGCAGCCATGGCCTCAGTCCTTCCATGACTGACTAGGTTGTCTATGATGACCTTCAGACATCCTCAGTCACAGAACACATGCCCCGTTCTGATAACTCCAGGTTGTCGGTGCTCTCAGGAATTGAGAAGCCCTTGTGATGGAGTCATCCGGACCTCAGAGCTAAAGGCTCTGGATCCTGGGCTCTGGTGCCATCCAATGGTTTCACAGATGGAAATTGCCTGATAGAGCCAGGCTCAGGTCAGAGAATAATCACAGAATCCATTCTTCACTCAACCTTTAGGTAAACATCCTTCCTACCCAAATTAGTCTGAGGGTTTGAATGTGAGTAAATCTCTTCTTGGTAAATCTGCCTTCCCTTACTTCATGTTTTTGGACATGTGATGTGATGGCTATAAACTTATTCCAATTAATTTGTTTATCTCACATATGTCCCCATCTCTTACTCCTGGAAGTCAGTATGTCACTGTAATGTCCTGTTTGTCGCACCACTGGTTAACGCTTGGATTCAGGCATCATGAAGTATCCAATGGCCTCAGGGTCTTGTTATTAAAATTCCAAAGCCATGCTAATGTTCCTGGGGACATCACCCAAGGAAGACAGGATCCATCAGTTCAGGTGTTTGTTCTCATTGGTAAAAGGTATAGACAGACATAGGAGACCAGTGAGCAAGCCAAAGGTTTACCTGGTACAGAACTCGCTTAAGAAAGCGAAAGAAAGCAAAACTCCTGGGCCAACTCAAGGGTAGTTGGGGTGTTGCTTTTTTCCCCCTTATTAATAATTACTTTATTTTTTATTTATTTAACTTTTTACACATGTTACTCCCAGTTCCCTTTTCCTCCCCCCTCCCCCTAGGCCCCCAATCTTCCCAACCCTCAACCTTACTCCATCCCCCCTCCGCTCCCCAGGGAGGGTAAGGCATTCTTTCCATGAGGGATTATCAGAGTCTGTCAGGTCATCCTGGGCAGGGCCTAGGTCCTCCTCCATGTGTCCAGACTGAAAGAGCATCTCTCACATGGAATGGGCCCCCAGAGTCTATTTGTACATCAGGAAGAAATACTGCTCTACTCTCCAAGGTCCCAGGTTCGGGTTAGGGGTGTGTGTCTGGATCAATCCCATGCTGGTCTCTCAGTCATCAGTTGGGGTCCATGTGTTTTCCCTTGTTTAGGTTAGCTGTCTCTGTGGGCTTCGCCAGCCTGGCTTTGATTCCTTTGCTCATTACTCCTCTTGGCAACTGGGTTCCAGGAGTTCAGTTCTGTTTTTAGCTGTGGGTGTCTGCTTTGGGGAGTTGCTTTTTAAGAGTCTCCTCAAGGGGTAACTTGGATGCTATTTTTGAGCACTATTGATGTTGAGACGGAAGTGTTTGGTAGGGGCTATTTGGCTCATTCCATCTTTCATAATGGTTAAGCAATATGGGACTGGAGGGATGGCTTAGAGGTTAAGAGCATTACCTGCTCTTGCAGAGGATCTGGGTCAGTTCCCTGTGTCCACAGGGTGACTCACAATAGCCTGTAACTCCAGTTCTAGAGGATCCAGCACTTTTTTCTGGCCTCTGTGAGCACTGTACACACATAGTGCATGGGCATACATGCAGGCAAACACAATACCAATGAAATAATAGAAAAGTAATTAAGTGATACAGAAAATTATATAACAAAGTATGGATGTGTATATATTACCATTTATTCATCTATTTATTTTACAACCTAGCCACAGCTTCCCCCCCCACCCTCCCCTTTCAGTCCCTCTCTCTTTTTCCACCCCCCCAATCTTCTCCTCTTCTGTCTCCATCCAGAAAAGGGCAGGTCTCTTATGGGTATCAATAAAACATGGCATATCAAGTTGCAGTAAGACTAAGCACCTCCCCATGTATTAAGGCTGGGCAAGGTGACCCAGTATCAGAAGTAGGGTCCCAAAAAACAGTAAAAGAGTTAGAGACAGCCCCTATTCCCACTGTTTGGAGTTCCATAAGAAGACCAAGCTACATAACTGTCACACATATGCAGAGTGCCTAACTAGGTCAGTCCCATGCAGGCTTGGTGTCTGTTGGTTCAGTCTCTGCCACCCCTATGAGCCCAGGCTAGTTGATTGTATGAGTCTTCTTGTGGTGTCCTTGACCCGTCTGACTCCTCTACTCCTTTCTCTTCTTCCCTCCCAGGATTCTCCAGGCTGTGTATGTATTATTAATCTGAGCTGTAGGATATGTGCAAACAGTAGAAACAATTCTCCCTTCAGTGTAGGTCAAGCACCAATCATGGATGCCATTCACCAGTCACCTTGTGTGGTTTTAAAGGAACTGCATGGTTCAGAATGCTTTATTTGGGGAAGATTTTAAATATCTGGGACAACATCTGTAAAGACCAAATCCCTTTGTCTTCTAATTGGATGAAAGGAGTGAGCTGTTGGTTGCTGTTCGTGTAAGAAGGCAGGGAATAGACTATCATCAATGACCCCTGACCCCTTACTTCCTGCCTACCAACCCTTTCTCAACAGGACAAACATCTTTTTCAGTTATATGTTAGAAATACATGTGAACAAATTCTGTGACATCTTTCAGCCGGTTTCCCCCTTATAATTACAAATAGACTCCTGTGCTATAGAAGCCAGCACCACTTCAATAGCTGACAAAAAAAATCCCCAAGTCACGCTCCTTCCCACTGTAACTGCTACTGTCTTTAGCTTTAGCAGGATTTAACCTTCTGCATTCCTGAACAACAAAATATTAGCATCAGAGAAGCTAAGATACTTCAGTTCCACTTTGGTTTGAAATGAGAGGGCATACCCTAGTGTTTTCATCCATCGGTCTCAAACTTTCCTGAGGGAAAACCTGTCCACATGATTCTGATTCTTTCAAAATAGTGTTTATCCGTTTCCTCAGGCTGAACATTCCCAGTGACTCTAACATTTCCAGACATGATTGATTTAAGTTGTTTACAAAGACTGCTCCTTTCCTCTGTACAAGCCCCAGAATTCACTGTTCATGTCAGAGGACCCAAACCATCCAAACTCCAAAGCTCAACTGATGTATCTTTGGGACAGAAATTGTTTGTATTGTCTAGGTACATCATGAACAGATCCTTTTAGCCTCTCAAAATAAACCTGGTCCAGAGCCAGGGTTTTACATGGAGTCAGGATGCTTTGTCTAGGAATTCTACAGAATTTGGATTTTGTTTGTTTAGGACTTTTGTTTGGTTAATATTGAAGCTCTGTCTTACCAAGTAACCCAAACTAGCCTCAAACATGCAATTTTTTTCTCTCAGCCTCCTAAGTTCAAGGATTATAGATGTATGCCACCACACCCAACTACTCAGCTAGTTTTATTTAATATCTTCGATAGGGCACGGTAGCCATGGCTAGCCTACAAGTTGCTATGTAGCCAAAGATGACTCTGTGCCTTTGACCCTCCTGCCTCCACCTCGCATGTGCTGGAATTACAGGCATGTGCCGCCATGGTTAGCAATGCCGTTTCATCTCCTGATACTTCAGTTGAGGTTAGTCATGAACTGTGACTGAAATACAAGGGTGTTACTGGGATGTCCCTCCAACCTCCCCTCAATTCCCTGGTCCACAGAATCTCCATTGAAATGATTCAAAGGAGACCCACAAAATACTGTGTAGAAAGCAGAATTTATTACAGAGTAAAGTGGGGCACCCTCAAGAGGTACAAGGGCACAATAAGCAAAGGGACAGTGATTCAGGGAAACTTTACAGGGGGAAAATGGACAGTGGTCTGAGAGACACTGTGCCCACTAACATGCTCTAGTAGATCCTATGCATCCTTAGGGCACATAGAAGAAACTGTTTTCCTGAAGGGTGTTTTCCTACGTGGATGATTGAGAGACGCTTTTGGCTTGTTCTTTGCCAGAAAGCACACAGCTAGAGAGCAATCCTCTGACTTGTGGGGCATCTCAGAATATCCTGTCTCTAGCCAAGGCCACATCACTCAGATCCCACTGTTTTGACCAATAATCAAAACTGCTCATTTTGCAAAAGGGTTTCATCCTCAGGCATCTTCATGCCTGCTAGCTGCCTAGAGCTGCCTGAGATTAAAACAACTGTGTCTGTTGTAGATTTAGTCAAATACCTATCACATGAATCTGAGCAACAAACTAGTACCTCTGATTTCCTGACTAACAAGATTCCTGTGCTTTCAGATAAACCCACGCTGAATGAAAGCAGAAACATGGAGGCATCGTATAAATGCTTTACTGTGTGTGCTATGGACACAGGATAGCTCTGAACTCATGATTTTCCATCTCTTCTGAGTTTCTTTGTTTATGAAATGGGAATTAAACTGTTGAATCATGGGAGAAAGTATGACTCATTGGTCAAATAAGGTAATTATCGTGGGTTATGGCCTCAAAATAGGATGTTTCTGCTATTTGCATGAATGCAACTCCCCCTTCGTCTACACTTGAAGGAATTTTTTTTTGGTTTTTCGAGACAGGGTTTCTCTGTGGCTTTGGAAGCTGTCTTGGAACTCACTTTGTAGACCAGGCTGGCCTCGAACTCACAGAGATCCGCCTGCCTCTGCCTCCCGAGTGCTGGGATTAAAGGCGTACGCCACCACCGCCTGGCTTCACTTGAAGGCATTTTAAATTAAGCCAAACACTAAATTCTTCAATATTTATAAAGGTCACCTGGAAACTACTGGATTCCATAATGGGAGAGTTGGAGTTTACAAACTGTTTCCTGGAGATGAATGAACAAGACAGTCCCATGTGTTCTTTTAACCACTGTTGCTCTAAGAATCACACATGCATAGATCCATACAGGAAGTCAACTCAAATGTGATGTTCCTAGACCAAAATAGAGAGACACAAATTATCTCACAACTTAATTCTACAGATGAATAATTCACTTCCTCTCTCACAGGAATCTGTTCTTGTACTGATACTAAATTCACTTTGGTAGTTGCTGGCTCTAAAGGAATAACTCACCATGCATCATGCCCCTTTCTAAGCACATAGAGAAGACACTGAGACTCTCACCTTGTCAAACTTACCACCCACTGTCTGTTGAGGATTGTGAAGGGATTTTCTTTTTTGCCATAATGATTTGTATTATTTTTATCTCTGGCTATGTCCCCCATTTTACTTGTCTGCAGTTATCTTAAATTTTCATAAAGACCTTTACTTTTTTCTGGTTAGGAAAAACATATTTTTAACAGAGCTTGTAAACTTTTTTTGTCCTTCTACAGCATCAAATTCAGAGCCTGAATGAGCAAAATGCTGTTGGGGAGAAAAAAATTCATAAAATCAACTAGACCTAGCCAAATCCAGTTTCCAACTCTTTCCTAACTGCATGGGAAAGCAAAATTTTCTGTTGTTCTCTTGTTAAATACAATGTGGTCACACGCTGCATCTGTTCTTACAAAATCCAAGTCTTGCCTGAAACTCTTTTCCTTATTCCCATACTTCTTTCCCAACATGGATGATCTCATGACTGCTTCAGAGAGAAAATAAGCCCATCCTTTCAAAGCAGCCTCAAACTCTCATTTAAGATCTTCCTCCATTTGCTTAAATGCCCAGCCTCTCAAATTGTAGCCCAGGCTATCGGGTGCAGAAGAGGTGCTTTAGAAGATATCAAAATGAGATTTTTCTCAATAGGAATCATGTCTGTGTTCAAGATGCTACAGTCTCCCAGAAGAAAGACTTGGTGTGAGGTCTTTGATACAGAATACAGAAAGATCCAAGTGTCATTCGAGGGACTCTTTTTAGGGCCTCTATTGACAACACTAAGTGCCAAGGTCAATGTTGGTTCCAGGAACCATATGAAATCTGCCTGTAGCTGGAATCACCATTTGGGGAAAAAAAAGATGTGAGAAGAGAGATGTTTTCCAGGGGAAGAAAAGACCTTGAACAAAAAAGATGGAAGTAGAAAACTATGAAACTAGACGAAATGGTACAGCTAATTCAGCTTCTCTAATTCAGACAGAATCTGAAGGACCAGCATGGAAGGACTAGAGATAAGAGCCAGGTGTGATCTGTAACACTGGCCCCGAGTTGCACAGATCTATGTGAAAATAGTGAGCCCCTGATGACTTTCTGTCAGTCAGAGGTGTTCAGAGGCATGTGCGTGGCAGTCACATCTGGAAGGAATTGAATGGGCAGAGTCTTATCTTAGATATTTGCTGCCTGACCCGAATCACAGACACATGGAGCCATAAAGAAACTGTGGGAGAGGAATAAAGCAGATGCAGAAACACAGGAAATCAGATGACAAGAACTGGCACCTCCCTTCACAAGAGCAGGGGCCATAGAGATACAAAGAGAGGGGGAGAGATAAGGGAGAGGAGAGGGAGGGAGAGAGGGGGGTTATATTCTAAATACAAGAGAGCCTTTAAAATTTATCTCAGGGGTAACACTGATGCTGATTATGCCGCATTCTGGTTACTAAATGGATGGAAATTTTCAGAAAAATAGTAAAGAGGAAGTTGATTCGAAAGGAATACACGGCTGGGCAGGATGCTGTCCCCTGTAATCCTAGCATGCAGGAGACTGAACCAGAGTGCAGGAGACGAAACCAGCTTGCAGGAGACTGAACCAGGTAGTTGTAGATTTCAAGGACAGCCCAGTTGCTGGCTTAGCATAGAATATGGTCCACACAAAAGGCCACTGTGTCTTCCTAATAAACATGTGACATATACATGACTTCCAGTCAAAAGAAAAAAATTGATGCCGTATAGATTCCATTCCTGAGTCTGAGTCCAACACGGTACTCAAAACCAAAGGTTAAGATGTATAACACCTAGATAAAATTGAATAAGAATGATAATAAACTGCTTTTTATTTTAAGCAATAAAAAACGATGTGTTCTATTCCTTCAGGTGTGGAGAGAGCAAGATTGAAGTACATTGTGAAGGATAAACGTCTCAAACTCAAACACTCACGGTGCCGGAGAGATGGCTCAGCGTCCCCTCCTGGTAGGAGTCCTTTCTCTCTAATAATGGGGGCCAAGGTATGAATCTCAGCCCCTGAGGAAGAAGCTGGGCATCCCCACAAATGCCTGAGGGAACCACAGCTCCAAGGAGATCAGAGACAGGGGGATTGTGGGGACTTGCTGGCTTCCAGCCCCACTGAGAAAATGTGAGCCCTGTTTACTGTGTGAGAGGAACGGAAGCATGGAGAGTGACAGAGGAGACCACCATCCTCCCTGCTTTCTGTGCATGTGCACAAGCACACACTCAGGCGCACACTTGCGCATGTGTGAGAAAGCATGCGGACACACACACACACACACACACATCTTGTATGTGCGTTAGCATTGCTGTGCTCAGATACCTAGAGGACTGTGACCATTGAACACCTCACACTGTGTTAGAGGAGCTCTCACCTGCACAGGAAAGCTGAAAGTCAAGATTTTTAGCCATGTTGCTTTCCTTATCTAGTTATCAAAATCACTAAAATAAACTTCACTTCTAAAATTAAATTCTCTCTGTATGTGTATGTGTGCATGCACATGTGTGCGTGCATGCATGCATGTGTGTGTGTGTGTATGTGTGTGTTTTCCTCGAGACAGTTCTCAAGTAGCCCTGAGTAGGTAGCCTTAAACTCACTACCTAGAATGATACCGAAGGATGCCCTTGAACTTGTAATTCTCCTGCCTCTGGGATTACAGATGTTCATGCCATGTTCAGTTTATGCAATGCTGGGATCAGAACCAGAGCTTCATGCATTTGTGGGGCAAGCTATCTTCCCTGTCCAAAACTGTTCATGTTTTAACAAGGAAATAAAAAATCACAGACAAGCGTTGACTATGTGTTGGTCTTCAAAGATGTGCGGCTCAGTCACCTTTGGCCACTGTCTCCTGCAAATGTTTACACTGCAGAAATAAGTGCACCCTCTCTGTGCAGCCTCCCTGCCCCTGCTCATGTGCTGTTCATATGGCATCAGATCTGGGCCGGGAAAGCTCGTCAGCCAGGGCTTTACCACAGCTGATGAGCATGCAAGCTGCTAATTTACTACATCAAAGAGTGGAAAGAACCACAGGCCAGACCCCTTAATGTTCCGAATCCACTGCAGGAGACTGCAGTCAGATGACTCGGAGGCATTGCGGGATGCTGCAATCATCGCATTAGAGCATCGGGAGCCAACGAAACACATTAAGCAGAGAGTCTCCTCCTGGGGGTAAACAAGGATTGTTTAAGTGCCCACACCTAAGACAGAAGCAACGTGAGGTTTGGTTAAGAAATAGAAATGGCATTTGAAGAGTAAAACGGTGGTTTCTAGACGTACTCGTTTAAGATGAGGTAAAAATGATGATGTCCAAATCTACGATCTCCTTAGTAACTGAAATCACATCTATATCATATGATGCAGATGTGATGCAGCTTTGCACTGTCGGTCACAGGGCATCGTTAGCAAAGGCACATTGGGAACAGCAGCCATTGCCTCTACCACCGCACGAGGAAACACTGTGGTATGAGGTAGACTTGGCGTGTGATCATTACAAGGATTCCCCCCCCCACACCCGCATTTTACTTCCATTTAAATAACCACGGACTGAAAAGAGAAAAACACAAAACTGTTTATTCTGGGGCATTTGTAGGAAAACTTTCTGGATGCTGGCTGCGCCGTTTTCCGTCTGTCTCATGAAATACGATTGTGAAGCTGGATGAAGAACCAAGCACACCCGCCTAACATTAGCCATTGTGCCTGTAGGTACGATTAGGCCTTCTCATTTCCAATGCATGCTATCGTGTGAGTTTGGAGCATGCACTGCTGAAAGCAATCATCACTGAATGCCTACAAGTGGCCTGTAATGAGACGCACATTTGTGTCAGCAGAATATTTTTCCAATCGGAGGCATCAGCCCCTTCCTTCTGTCCTACGGCTGAGAGACTGCAGCAGCCTACGTGGTCCTCAGCATATCCTCAGATGATGACAGCAGACTTTTGCAAGACTTGAGGTGGATTTTTTTAAAGCACTTGTGGCTACTAGATTAGTATGCACTATGAGCAAGGGAAGCAGGAAACTTCCCAGAACATTTAAAAATGGAAATAAAACAAACCGTTTAAAGTAATAAAAGTGAGTATATTTTAGTATTATCTCAAAGGCAAATATAAACACATACTATGTATCACATGTATAACATCCAGAAACTATAAGGACATAGTTTTTAAAGTGCATATGATTCAAAGTGAATTGCTCTACTGTGATAAATGTGAGGAGTAATTGGGTTCAAATACTGCCTTCAGAGTCTTACTCTTTCTCAAACTTAATTGTTCTGCCTATATTTAAAAAAAAGAAAATGAAAACAAAAACAAAATCCATTTCCTTCAAAAGATCCAGGTTCAGTGTTTAAGGCAGGCTCTCCCCATGTGGCCCTTCCTGTTATTCCAAAACCATTTTCCTATTCTTGGGCTTCACTTTACCCAGATTTCTTCCTCACCATAGGGCCCCATCATACACACCTCCAAACAGCACAATATCCTGAAGCTCTGACCTCTGGTGGAACCCAATTTGCCTTTAGCTGTGGTGCCAAGGGAGCAGTTACCCACTCTTAACTGTAGCCAGCACAGCTATTGCTGGACACACTACTCACAAAATTTGCCAGCCAAGTACTCTAAACCTCCCTTGGAGCCCCGCAGAGACCTGCACCCCAGTGTGAAATGAAATTGAGTTTTAGTCTGAATCATGGCCAGTTAGGAGGTGGACTCCAGGGTACCTCTGAGACTCTGAAGGCCCTGTGGCTAAAAGAGTCACGCACAACCCACCTTAATATCTGCCCAAGAGGCCAAGTGGCTGCCCTCACCAACAATACTTAACAAGAGGAAACACAGTCCCAGTCAGGAGAG